TAACATTTTATCCTATACATGTGGCCCATCCACTGTCACTGTGATTGTGTTTATTGTAATGTTATTTTGTTACTGTATTCATATATTTTTTCCATGTAATTTTGATGATGTTGCTTGTTGTTTATGTTTTGGTTTTATTTTTGCTGTGATATGTTGTCTGGGCTTGGCCACATGTAAGCCACTCAAAGTCCCCATTGGGGAGATGGTGGCAGGGTATTAATAATAATAATAATAATAACTATTATTATTATTATTATTTTAAAAACTGACATTTTATAATTGTGGCCAGAGATCTTTTCACTTTGCCTTTGCACTGGGTAATTGTGCCATCCCCCAACCAATATTTGTGGCCTTGTCAGCCCTAGTAACACAGCCAATGATATGGTAGTTGCACAGCAACACATCTGGAAGGTCATATCTGCTCTAGTTCAATAGTGAAATCAACTAAGTCTCAATGAAAAGTGCAAACCTAGCACAAAGTATGTTTTTCCCTATCCTGTCTGAGCTTTTAAAAATACTAACTTTTCACAAATCATATAACACAGGCATAGGCAAACTCCCAGAAATCCCAGCCAGTTTACGAGCTGTTAGGATTTCTGGGAGTTGAAGGCCAAAACATCTGGGAACCCACAGGTTGAGAACCACTGCTTTAGAAACTATGTAGTGTCAGCTCTGGTTAGCACAGTGGTTCTCAACCTGTGGGTTCCCAGGTGTTTGGGACTCCCAGAAATCACAGCCAGGTTACCAGCTGTGAGGATTTCTGAGATTTGAAGGTCAAAACATCTGGGGATCCACAGGTTGAGAACCACTAGATTAGTACTTGTACAGATTAGTACAGATAAGGGTTACAAACAACAAATATGAAGCATTGTATTTGTTGGTTATGTCCTTGCCTATGAAGACCCTATGGACTTCATGGACTGCCACAAGTCAAGTCAACAGACACTTATTTGGAAAGAAGAACAGAAACTATATCATCAGAATGGAGCCCCTGCTGGTGCAATGGGTTAAACCCTTATCCTGGTAGGACTGAAGACCGACAGGTCTCAGATTCGAATCCAGGGAGAGCACGGATGAGCTCCCTCTGTCAGCTCCATCTCCCCATGCGGGGACATGAGAGAAGCCTCCCACAAGGATGGTAAAACATCAAAACATCTGGGTGTCCCCTGGACAACGTCCTTGTAGACGGCCAATTCTCTCACACCAGAAGCGACTTGCAGTTTCTCAAGTCGCTCTTGACACACACACACACACAAATCAGAATGTAAAAAAATCAAATCCATCCCCTTTTCTTTTCCTTTGCGGGGGGGGGGGGGCGCTTTTCCTATCATTTTTCCTATCTCAATTCCAATCAAATCCCTTTTCAATTCCCAATCATAACAGTGTTGTTGTTTAGCTTGTCAATAACGAATCAGTAAGGGGCAACTAGCAAAGGGAATTTGTGTCCCACATACTGTAGCTGACAAAAGTCAAGCACTATATAAAGAAAGCTGAATTCATGTTTAAAAGGAAGCCTTTGGGGCATCCACTCTGCCCTACTCCCTCCAACCAACCAAAAAGGAGTAATGGTAAGTTGCACTGACAGCAATAGGGCACAGTTAATACATGGGACAGAATTTCCTTTGTCAAACATAAAGATATTGAGTCAGCTGTGTGTGTTTTCTCAGTTTGCTCAAGATGGTAAATACACAATCTCTGGGATTAGTCACTGCAACGTAAGTAGAGAAAGGAGGGTATGGCCTATGCCTCTGCAACAAGCCCTCTTATTCCGTTCTAAAGCCACTATGTGGAAACCGAAATTGTTATTCGTTTGCAGCATTCCCATCCCTTTGTCAAGTGCCTCTTTTCTCAAAGTGTTTGCTGATCAAGGCTTTAAACTATATTTTTCAGGGTGTGACTTTACAAATTATGAAGAGACGATATTTACAACAAGGCCTTATGTGGTGTTAAATCTCAGAAAGTTGTATCAAGTGAGAGTTCCCTCATTTTCTGTTCACCACCATCTCAATCACACCCCAATGTGACTGATAACTAAATAAACATTGGCGGTTCGAATCCGGGAAGTGGGGTGAGCTCCCATCTGTCAGCTCCAGCTTCTCATGTGGGGACATGAGAGAAGCCTCCCACAGGATGGTAAAACATTTGGGTGTCCCCTGGGCAACGTCCTTGTAGATGGCCATTTCTCTCACACCAGAAGCAACTTAAAGTTTCTCCAGTTGCTCCTGACATGGAAAAAAATCCCTAAATAAAGAACTATGCCCCAATAGTTGCCCTAATTATCATGCTCACAAGCCTTCAGTGGGCAAAATGACATCAATGGCTGACCACTCCCACTATTTTTCTTTATTTATTCTGTTTGTCTTTCTTCCAAAATAGTGACTCAAAGTAGCTGACAATAAGCTACGTCATCAGGCTCTTGACTTAAATGCTAGGTGGAGTTTTTCGACCTAATACCTCAGCAAGCAAATGTTTTAGTCCTGGAAAGCATAAAAATGCACGGTGTCTTGCTATATCTGATAACACTATGTAACATGATTTTTCCTGGGTTATTAATATAATTTCTTAATTAGTTTTATCATAAAAACATGGGAAAAGTTTATTAAACTGAAAACTTTGTTTTTGCGGGACACCCTGCAGCACATTTTGCTATAGTTTTTCAATGAATATCTCACAGAGTCTCAACCAAATCAACATAGTTTGTGGAAGCAACAAAAACAAAGTTTCTGGAGTAGAACAACTACTTTCAAAGTATTGTACAATTGCACAGGAAGTAATAGTTTTGAACCAGGAACAATTTTTTCATGTTTTGCTACATAGGGATAGCATAAGACTACTCTACTTGAGGGAGAACTGAGCTACATAAATTGAGGAAGGAGAAGGCCATAGGGCAGAGATCCCCCCTGCCTGCTGCCCCCAAAATGTACCATTCGTCAGAGAGGAAACTGGAGGGGGAGCGAAGTGTCCTTCTGCTATTGAGCAAGACCTGCCCTCTTTCCACAAGATTACACTTGTGACTCAGCCTGGGTCATTGAAACTTTACTAACAGACTGATCTCGTGTTCCAAGAAAGCAAGAACGGGGCCAAAGGACTTCCCCACAACTGTCTCCACACACAGACAACACCACCCTCTCTGATGGAGGCTCCCATGACAGCTGCTTTCCCTCCAACAGCAATCAGGAGGGTTGAGACCAAGCAGCCAGCCCCACTGGAAGAAAGAGAACCTCTGAAGCATTCGGGCGGTTAAACTTGGAAACCTTGATTGCCCAAGATCAAAATGAAGTCAGAAAACCGTTGGCTTCCTACTTCCTCAAACTCTGTGTGCCATGTGAAAGGTGACCAGTTATACACTGTACTGGAAACAGAGCAGTGAGTGCTACTTAAGAACATTCTGATAACTCCAGCAACATCCTAAAGGCACCAGATCCCACTTGATCTTGGAAACTAAGCAGGGCCAATCCTGGTTAGTGCTTAGGTGGAAAACTCCCAATGAATACCAGGTGCTGGAAGCTGTATTTTAGTCTGGATCTACACTGCCCTATATCCCAGGATCTGATCCCAGATTATCTGGCTGTGTAGACTCATATAATCCAGTTCAAAACAGACAATCTGGGATCAGATCCTTTGGATATAGGGTAGTGTAGATCCAGACTAAAATACAGCTTCCAGCACCTGGTATTCATTGGCAGTTTCCCACCTAAGCACTAACCAGGACTGGCCCTGCTTAGTTTACAAGATCAAGTGGGATTTGGTGCCTTTAGGATGTAGCTGCAGAAGGCCCTTCCAGACTGGCCCTATATCCCAGGATCCAATCCTAGGGTTTCTACGTTAAACTGGATTATATGAGTCCACACTGCCAGCTAATCTGGGATCAGATTCTGGGATAGAGGGAAGACCAGTCTCAAAGGCCTTTCCAGACTGGCCCTATATCCCAGGATCCAATCCTAGATTTTCTGCTTTAAACTGGATTATATGAGTCCACACTGCCAGCTAATCTGGGATCAGATTCTGGGATAGAGGGAAGACCAGTCTCAAAGGCCCTTCCAGACTGGCCCTATATCCCAGGATCTGATCCTAGGTTTTCTGATTTAAACTGGATTATATGAGTCCACACTGCCAGATAATTTGGGATCAGATCCTGGGATAGAGGGCAGTATAGATCCTCAGGGCCCTTCCAGACAGGCCCTATATTTCAGGATCCGATACCAAGTTTTCTGCTTTAAACTGGATTATATGAGTCCACACAGCCAGATAGTCTGGGATAAACAGAAAACCTGGGATCAGATGCTGGGATATAAAGTCTGTATGGAAGGGATCAGAGGAAGGAACTGCCAAACTGCCTTTGAGCATTCCCTGCCTTAAAAAACCTCACAAAATTCATGGGGTCACCAGTTGACAAGTGACCTGAAGACACATACAAAACATCCTTGAAAGGCAAATGAAGTTCAGTATTGCCTTCGTACTGGACCCTAAAGGGAGAAATTTAGTAATCATCACGTTGTTTTTTATTCAAAGCTGTGTGTGAATAGGTAAACTCATCCCACATCATAACAGAATAGGGGGGAAATATTACTTTTTTAAATCAAGTATGCAAAGTATTTCGGCATCACTTTTTGTACAAAGACATGTGCATCTCCAAAGCTGGATGCCTAGAATTCTCCAGCAGATAAATGATGGTACTTAAGAGGTTTAAAGTACGATGAGAAGCACATTTATTATGTACGTATGTAGGAGTCCCAAAGGACTATAACACAGCCAAGGATGCACAGCTCTTGTGATGGGGAACTTACTACTAGCACTTATAGAGAAAAGAAGGAAAGCCATCAAGGAAACTGAGCAACAACTCGGAGTTAATTCAGCCTTTAAAGGTTAATTGCCCAAAGTGGAACAAAGCGCCTTGGCTGCTGAAGAGGCCAAGCAAACCCAGCCCAGAGCTTTTGATGGCGGAGGGAAGAAAGAGGACAAAACAAGCCCCATAACCTCCCCTTCTTCCACTGACTTACCCAGAATAAGAAATTGAAGAAGAAGACCAGGAACTTCACACACTTCATGCCGCCTTCGACGCCCATTTTGCCTTATTCGTCCCTGTGAGGAGGGAAAAAACAGAACAGAAGTGGCGTTAAGAGTTCAAGCCTCGCCGAAGGAGGAAGGAAAGGGAAGCTGGGAAAAGAAGATGGGCGTTTTAAAGCCTATCATGGAGGCTGGGAAAAGGAAAAACAGGAAACTTGGAGGAGACAGCCTGAGGCAGAAAGCGGGAGGAGAGGAAGAGTAGGGATTCCAGTAAACCTGGGCCCGGTTTCCTCAAGGGCTGGGTTTCATGTAAATCCTTTCAGGATACATATGTATCAGAAAGAGATTGCCAAGAGGAAGTTGGGGGAGATTCAGATACAAGGGACACTCTCTCTCCACCAAGGCGGAATTTTCCAGTTTCCCTACTCCCAGGCAAACACAGTCAGGGGCGGCCACACTGTAGAATTAACACACTTTGATATCACTGCTACGCAATCACATGAGTTTGACAAGGTTTTTTTTCCGCCTTCTCTGCCAAAGTATAATTCATAAAAGTATAACTCCCAAAGTTCAAATAGGATGAAAGTGGCATATAAATAAAGGGGAGTATTATTACTATTATTATCAAAGTGCACCAATTCTACAGTGTAGATCAGACATGAGCAAACTTGGGTCCTCCCTCCAGGTGTTTTGGACTTCAATTCCCACAATCCCTAACAGCCTCAGGACCCTTCCTGCGGCTGAGGGGGGAAAGGAAAGGGCCTGAGGCTGTTAGGGATTGTGGGAATTGAAGTCCAAAGCACCTGGAGGGAGGACCCAAGTTGGCCCATGTCTGGTGTAGATGCAGCCAGAGTTCTTGAAAGTTGGAAGAGACCATAAGGGCCATCTAGTCCAACTCCGAAGGGAAAGCACAATCAAAGCACCCCCAGCAGATGGCCGTCCTGCCTCTGTTTAACAACATGGCACAAGAGAACCCACTTTAGAATCACAGAATCTTAAGAGTTGGAAGAGACCTCATGGGCCATCCAGTCCAACCCCCTGCCAAGAAGCAGGAAAATCTCATTCAAAGCACCCCCGACAGATGGCTATCCAGCCTCTGTTTAACAACGTGGCACAAGAGAACCCACTTTAGAATCACAGAATTGGAAGAGACCTCATGGGCCATCCAGTCCAACCCCCTTCCAAGAAGCAGGAAAATCACATACAAAGCACCCCCGATAGATGGCCATCCAGCCTCTGTTTAAAAGCTTCCAAAGGAGGAGCCTCTACCACACTCCGGGGCAGAGAGTTCCATTGCTGAACAACTCTCACAGTCAGGAAGTTCTTCCTAATGTTCAGGTGGAATCTCCTCTCTTGTAGTTTCTCTCTTGTCTCCCCTTTCCCCAGCACTATCAAGGCTGGGAAAGCCCCAACGTCACTGCAAGGATTCTGGAGTTGGGAGGGAACCCCAAGGGCCATCCAGCCCGACCCAATTCTGCCACCATCCAAACACTCCCGACAGATGGCCGCCCAGCTGAACAAACTTCCAGGGAAGGAGCCAAATCCAAGGAAGCGACATAAGAATCTCAATAACCCTTTCTTCTTTCTATACAAATCTAGATTCCCGCGTTAAAAAGGACCCCCTCCCCCTTTTATTATTACTTTTTACCTTGCCACTTCCTGCTCCTGGAAAGCAACCCAATAACAAGAGCACCGCAGGATCCAAAGGGGCAGGACTGAGCCCAGCCCCAGCGCATCGCCTTCTTATAGCCGGCCCCCTCCTCGCGCTCCCCTGAAGCCACGCCCCCCTCCCGCGTCACCGCCCCCTCCCCGCGAGACGGAGCCCCCCCCGCTGCTCCTCACGTGACCTGGAGGGAAGGAGGGGAGGGGGCTGACTCAACAGGAAAAGGAGGGAAAAGGAAGGGGAGCATGGGAGTCAAAGGAAAGAAGAGCACCCCATCCAGACACTTAGGGTCTAGCTGCCATGGATCAATGCTATGGAATAATGGGAGTTGCATTTCCACAAGGTCTTTAACCTTTCTCTTCCAAAGAACCCAAACTACAAATCTCAGGATCCCACAGTCTTGAGCCATGGTAACTTGAAGCAGGCTCAGGCTGGCTTTATTCTGCAGTGTATTACACTATGAGACACGATTTTAAATGTCATTTCCTAATGAGTTCAATGCTATAATAAACATGGGAAAAGTTGATTAAATTGCCAAAACTTTATTTTTGCCAGGACATCTTGCAACACATTTTGCTATAGTTTTCAATGAATAATAATGATGATTATTATTTTTTTGTCGTGTCAGGAGCGACTTGAGAAACTGCAAATCACTTCTGGTGTGAGAGAATTGGCCGTCTGCAAGGATGTTGCCCAGGGGATACCTGGATGATTTGATGTTTTTATCATCCTTGTGGGAGGCTTCTCTCATGTCCCTGCATGAGGAGCTGGAGCTGATAGAGGGAGCTCATCCGCCTCTTCCTGGATTCGAACCTGCAACCTGTTGGTCTTCAGTCCTGCCGGCACAGTAGTTTAACCCACTGCGCCGCCACCGGGGGCTCAAGATGATGATGATGAATTTTATTTATACCCCGCCACCATCTCCCCAAAGGGGACTCAGGGCAGCTTATATGAGGTCAAACCCAGTAGTGCATTACAACAGAATACAACCAAAAGCACAGAATAAACATCGCAATAAAATACATGAAACGTAAGAATACAATAAAACAGTGCAAAAAATATAGTGAGAGATAAATCACAATAAGCGGGCCACATGTACAAGATAAAATTATAATAACTCAGGATGAGTTAGAAATAGAACAGAAATGTTTGCGAGGGAGAAGCTCGTTGGAAATGGAGTAGTGGAGACAGGCCTTCAAAGAGGCAGGGGGAAGTACAGTATGGGGGCAAAACATCTCCTACGGCACTGGTTCCCAATCATTTTTTTACCAGGGACCACTTGAACAGGGACCACTCCCCAACATTAATACCAAAAGTGTTACGAATCAGTTTTTGGTCTTCAACAATACATAGTTTTTGGTCAACTTTAGATTTAGATTTACTCCAGCAAAGAAGCATTGTCTTGTTGTGGTGCTGGGGCTTGAGCACCTCCATGATGCCACGAGCAAAACCGTGAAGGGACACCCAAGACGGGAAGGTCGTAGCAGAGAGGTCAGACTAAATACGATCCCTGGGAAAGATAATGGCAAACCACCCCAGTACTCTTGCCATGAAAACTAAATGCATCAGTACAACTAGAGATATGTTGATATGCTGTCAGAAGATGGGATTCCCAGGTTGGAAGATGGGGAGGAGCAGAGGATAAGTTCAACTAGCCCCAGATGTGATGACGCAGCTAACTCAAAGCCAAAAGGGAGGCTAGCAGCCGACGGTGCTGGAGGTGAATGACGAATCCAATGTTCTTAAGATCAACACACTATAGGCTTTGAAGGGATTGGCTTGACCTTGAAGGAGTTGGGGGTGGCCACGTCTGACAGGGAGCTCTGGTGTGGGCTTGTCCATGAGGTCACAAAGAGTCGGAAGCAACTGGACAAATAAACAACAAAGATTTGGTTTGGTTATTTGAGGTGCTGATTCAGAAAATTGCATTGAATAGACCATATCAGCTCTAGTTTCTGATACAGAACATGCGCTATCCAGTAGTCACCATCTGCTCGCCTATAGAAAACCATATACTAATAATCTAGAGCTGATGTGGTAGTAGTAATCTTTTGTAGGTGATCAGCCTCTCCCTGTTGCCTCAGCACTATCAGAGGGTTTCGCAAGACCAGTTGCTCTCGTTGCTGTGTGGTTTTAAGGCAACAGTGTAGTAATGGTGAGGCTGCAGACCATATTTTCATTCTTGTGGACCATTGGTGGTCCACAGACCACAAGTTGGGAATCACTGTCCTAGAGTCTCAAACAATTCAACATAGTTTGTGGCCGCCACAAAAACAAAGTTTCTGGAATATGACAACTGCTTTCAAAGTAAGGACCATACAATTAAACAGGAAGGAACACTTTCAAACCGGGAACAGAAATGTTTCAAATTTTATTATATAGTGTTATGCTTCCAGAGTTTTGGAACACTCAAACAGCTAAATTTGAATTAGAAAAGTGGATCCAAGTGAGAAAAAATATATCAAAGAGGCAATTCCATATCCTGAGCCAAAAAGGAGGGCTTGTGGCTACAAGCAAAATAAATGTTTCACTAAATAGAAGTAGGCCAAGTTTGCAGGCCCTTTCATTTGTTGCACTGAAAGCAGTCTCAATTAGAAAAATGGAAGTTATGTTTGAAAGACAGCTGCCATTATTCCCCAGACTGATGAGCCTGAGACTCTAAACAAAGTTGGGGGCTTTCTTGGACTACAATTCACCCAATCAGGTACATGGAAACTTCCACTGGTATGTTCAGAGACTCCTAGGGCCCTTCCACATAGCCCTATAATCCAGAATATCAAGGCAGAAAATCCCACATTATTTGCTTTGAACTGGGATACATGGCAGTGTAGACTCAGGGCCTTGCCATACAGCACTATATTCCAGAATATCAAGGCAGAAATTCCTACATTATCTGAGTGTGGACTCAGATAGCCCAGTTCAAACCCCCAGAGAAGTTTTACAGCTTTTACTGTGTTCTCCTGATATGTACATGGACTCTCTCTTCCTGTAGTTTTCCTGATTCTATTGCTCTTTTCCAAAATCTTCCCAGGTACTGATGTCAGGATGACTGGACTGTAATTTATTGTGTCCTCCTTTTTTCCCTTCTTGAAAATAGGGAAAACATTTGTCCCAGTCTGCTGGGACTTCTCCTGTTCTCCAAGAATCCTCTAAGATTTTTACCAGTGGTTCTGAAATTACTTCTGATAATTTCTTCAATACTTTTGGATGTAGTTCATCCTGCCCTGGAGACCTGGATTCCTTTAGAGTAGCTAGGTATTCCTGGATTACTTCTTTACCTATTTTGGGTTGCATTTCCCCTATTACGGTACTTTGTCGACTCCATATAGCTCAAGTTGAAAACTGATTTACAGATTATCTCTCTAAGTCAGGGGTTCTCAAACTTTTTTAAACAGAGGGCCAGGTCACAATCTCTCAAACTGTTGGAGGGCCGGATTATAATTTGAAAAAAACATGAATGCATTCCTATGCATACTGCACATATCTATTTGTAGTGCAAAAAACACTTAAAATACAATAATTAAAATGAAGAACAACTTTAACAAATATAAACATTCGTATTTCAATGGGAAGTGTGGGCCTGCTTTTGGCTGATGAGATAGGATTTTTGTTGTTGTTGTTGTTGTTGTTGTTGTTGTTGTTGTTGTGTGCTTTCACGTTGTTTCAGAGTTAGATTGACCCTGAGCGAGGCCCGCGTAAATGACCTTGGAGGGCTGTATCCGGCCCTCGGGCCTTAGTTTTGGGACCTCTGCTCTGAGTCATCTTTTTCCTCTTTTTGAAGATGGGAACAACATTTGCCCTCCTCCAATCTGCTGGGATTCCTATGTTCTCCAGGAATTCTCACAAATTATTTCCAATGGTTCTGAAATTACTTTTGCCAGTTCTTTTAATACCCGTGCAGGTAGTTTATTTGGCCCTATAGACCCGAATTCATTTAGCTTAGCCAGATATGCATGTACTGCCGCTTTACCTATTCTGTACTACATCTTCCAAACTGCAATGTTTTCCTTTTTGGAGAAGACTGAGGCAAAGAAGGTGCTGAGTAGTTCTGCCTTTTCTCTGAGCTCATTCTGCAATTGTGCCTTCAATATCTCACAGTTTAAAAACTCCATCCATCATAAACTCCCTTCTCTGTCAGTATTCCTGAAAATGGGAACACACCCAACATTTCCTTAAATTTACTGAAATCAGCTTTCTTAAAAGTCTAAAATGCATGTTTTACTATGCTTGGTTTTCCCTTTGTACTATATAACAGACTCCAGGAGATCATGGCCGGTCCCGCCTAAGGAATCTAGCACTTCCATCCCATTAATCTCATCTTCACTGTTAGTTAGGATCCCCTTCTTTCCTCTTCCACCTTCTGTATAATATAATTGTTAGCAAAGCAGGTGAAAGATTTGTTGGATCTGTTATCCAAAAATATCAGGATAGTTGAAACCTTTCATTATTACTACGTATATCCCTCCTTTTTGAAGGCGTAATAATCTGTTCCAGGAAGGCATAATACAAATCCTGAGTCTGGGGCTTGCATGTGAATGTGCCTTCGGGTTACCAGTTGGTTTATGATGAATGCATGCATTTCATAAGGTTTTCTCAGGCAAGGAATACCCGGAGGTTGTTTGTTATTTCTTTCTTCTGAAATATAACCCCCAGCACTTGATATACATTGGCAACTTCCCTGCTATGTACTAACCAGAGCAAACCCTTCCACGATCACATGGGATCTGGTGCCTTTAGGGTATTTATACACATTGCCAACATATGAGGCAACTGGAGTTAGTTAAGTGAATAAACTGAAATGCCACAAACAAAAAAGTAATTGTTATTTTAACAGTGGTTTTAACCATCTCTACAGCTGAAGAGGTAGGTTGATATCACAAGAGCTTACGCTGAAAGAGATGAATTAAAAGACGCTGCTAGATTCCATGTCCTCCATCCACACAATTTCCCTTTTTATGCTGTAATAAACTAAATTGGTTATCATGTTGAAAACAGTAAGTTGGTAGCGCAACCCTTTTCCATTGGGTGCAAACTATTTTATTCATTTTTGTCCAGCTGTTTCTTACTAGGTTCTTTCTTTGGACACACCT